GCTGTTGGCCTTGCCTGCTCGATATGATTTCGGAGGATGGAGTTTTGCTTCGCATTAAGAGAAAGGATGGCATGGAAGTTGCTCTCCTCAGGAACATGACCTCTGATGGGAATGTTCTGCTTACCCATCATTATCAGAACTTCGGCGATAGACTTTAATGCAAATCTATTTCGCTCAATTTCCTCAACCCGTTGCTGGTGCAGTTGCTGCGAAATGTTTGGCCTTCCATCACGTTGCAGTGTTAAATAGGCCTGCCCTCTGGCAACAGCTGAGTGGTGATCAGTATTTGCATTGTGCCTGTTAATAACTTTGCTTATGTTTGACCAGTCGTTGGAGCGAAAGCAGTTAGACTGAGTGCCAAATAAAGCACAATAGCAGCAATACACTGTATCTGTTGAAGGGCTATATCGAAGCCATGGGGTCTGAGTTATCCAGGTTGGGCTGAATTTTCGGTTTTGACGCTTATTCTCCTGAAAGATACAAGACAACGAGTTCTTCACCAATAATTAAAAAAACGACACAAAAAAAACTGTAAGGGAGTGAGTCTGAGAGTAGTCTTGCCAAAACATTTTAACATTTTCATGTATTGTTAAATAAAGATTTTTATTATCACAAGCTCATCCATGGATGGTGTTGGAAACGATATCAATTATTATCTATAGTGCAACAGGAAGTGAATACCTTGACGGGAATGCGTACTTGTGAAGATCACTACTTTCCCATTTGCCCTCCGATAAGGACATCTTTTCACTATCAGACAACGTGGATGCTGCTTTCCCTTAAACGTAAACATCGGGATATTCTGGGCCGCTTGTCACCAACCTGCCTGTGGCACTGGCTTCAGAAGAGTCGCTTTGTCTTGCAGTAGTTGTTTGGGTAAAAATGTTGCTCGGAGGGTCTGCTTCTAACGAACGTAAACAAAAGAAGTAATCGATCACGAGTTGAGCTACTGACTGTGTACTCGTTCTTTTTGGATCTATTTCGTATTGTCCACAGCTTTCAAATTTGCAACCCCGCTCTACCCTCTACCGCTAACAAAAAAAAATGTTGAAAATTCAAATCCCGGTAACTTGTCACTCAATGCGTCCACAATTAGTGAAACATAATTAAAAACAGATGTCGTCCCTATCAAAATATTCTCGAAAATATTGAACAGAAAATTATCTTGAACAGTTATTTTATTGAACTGAAATAGATAATTTAAGCCTACGTACCTTGAGCTTCTTCTGCACGTTGCTCAGTTGTCTTGTTAATTACGTTTAAGTAATCGTGTATCGATTTTCGAGCCATATGTGTGTACTCTGTCACAAAACACACAAAAACAACACAGAAGCTAGTAATCACGCTCCTCAAGTCGCAGAGATATTCATTGTATTCTCTAACAGTTTCTTCGGACAATCACTCACTAGGGCTTCACTGTTTGACCTCGCTAGAGGTATATATTATTCCTAATCTCCATTGGCAGCAAATACGTTTTGTTCTGAAGCCACACGTCATGGCATAGTAACCTCTCCTTCAAGAATACCTGTGGGGCTGGGGAAACTGGTGAGGCTGGATGACCTTGAGGGAGGGGTACATGAGGCGTTTTTTTTTCTATTTTTACTTACCAGTCCACTCGAATGCATCTTGTCATCAGCACTGAATGATTAATGCTTGGATAAAGGGAAATCTAATAAAAAATGCCAGTATAATTTGACAAAATGAAATATGAAATTATCAGCCAGCAACTTTAATGAGAAAAAACGTTTTTAAGCAATTCCAAAAAAAAATTTCTCAGATATCAGCTGTACGCACGGGCATACGTGCATATATGGACGCTACGCCCCTGCTAAATGAAGTTTGTTGTTTATTTAGAAATACAAGCTACACTGTAAACTACCAGCTTATGACAACCTTAACTTTAACGTAATTTGTTTTTGATATAAAACTAATCTAAACGAAATGTAGTTTGTTGTTTATTGAGAAATACTAACTAAACTATGCTTATGTCAACCTTAACTTTAACGTAACTGGACCTCCCTTGTGCAAAATCAAGGTAAAAATTTTGAAATAAAATGTGTGAAGAAGAATATGGGTAAGTAAACGTTCTCTCTTCCTAGATATCCAACTTGAACTAGGATCCTTAAGCCAAAGCTAGCTTGTATTTACAGGCTTTATGCTTCCTAAACTTTGGTCCTGATGGAGTATCATTCATTTTGCTGCATATCAGCTTTTCATATGCTTAGCTTAATGATTGCAACCCGAAGTTACAAAATTTAGCTGGCAAATGACCTGGAAAGCTAAAGAGCACTTTGTAAAACTTTGGTGACAAAGGTCCACATTAAATTTCTAGATCTGTAAGCAAGATTCTGTGCTATCTGTTTTGTAATCGGTTATGGCAATAATGATTTGAAGGTACACCTGTGTACTTGTGTAAAAACCAAGCACATTAAGTACTTTGATGTGCACTTTTTTGCTTCTGATTTATTTTTAAGTTCTATCAACCTTTTAATTTTTTTCCCTGTGGTCATTTCCATTTGGTGTGATTTTGCTTCTATATACTTTCTGAGTGGTGGCAAATAGTCGTCCCACCTGAAGCGAAACCAAACAAATCGAAAACATATAAACAGTGTACGAGTTTTCTTCCAGGTATTAGTGGTTTCGTGTGATAATCGTCTGATTGAAGATCAAGTAAAGACATACAAATGTATGTTGTTTGGCAAGTTGCACTATTGGTTCATTTACAATGATTTAACCTTCTCTCGTATTTCAGACGATTAATTGATTGCTTTATGGTGAACTCGCGTAAATCTTTGCCCTCCTCACCTTTGCTAAGCAAGTCCTTGACCACAGTTTGTGAAATGATGCCTGAT